ATATGAAAAGTAATTTATTAAAAGTATAATTACTAAAAGTATCTTGCATATTATAGATTAAGATTTGTTTATGTTATCATTTATGAAACCACTCATATATAGATAGTGCTAAAGTGCAAAATGACTCGTAATAATCATGATATTGCATCGCATTTGTGATATACAGAATGGAATTATAAATGTAAATGAAGTAATATTTAGCATAAAATGCGCTATATGATCGTGAGAAAATGAATACATTTATCGTAAAGTTCGTGACGAAATGTCTTGAATGGTTTAACTTAGGTAAAGTGAGATGTCAAAATGTCATAAAATAATTACGATAATTGAAAATATTGTGACTTTCTTTAATATGCGGAAAGTGAAAAGAGTAATATGTACAATTAGAAAGGAGACGATACAATTATAATTGAAGCGAATAGTCGAATTTATTATTTGGCTAGAAATCACCAGAAGACAAAAGATTATCATCGATTGCATACTCTCCAATGTGAAATGAAAAGATAGAAAGAAAAAATTTAATCCACAACTCTAAAAAGTCATGTCATCCTATGCTATTTAGATTTTGTATATTAAATGATTTTATACTTTCTCACTCTCAAATTGAAAAGAATAGAATAAATCCGTAATTAGACTATTTGGTAATGCTTTACAATAGCAATTGCAGCTGTGAAAAGGGTTGTTGCAGCTTTAATACATCTATTTGGCAAACACCTTAACAGCCCACCACTTCAAAAGTTACAATAGCATTTCGAAAGTTGTTACTCCAACTTTAAAACATATATTACCAAACATCACATCACAATTACAAACACATCATAGTTGCAGTTCGACCACTAAAAACCGAACGGGCTCTAGAAGGACCGCTTCAACAAAATGCAATTCATACTCCTTGTTCCATCTTAAATAATAAAATGCTCATGCTAATAGCTTTAAACACATCATAAATTTTAAATGGTCTAAAATAGCCCTCACTGAGACCTCATTAACGGTATATTGATGAAAGAGGAAAATATACCTTTTAACTATATCAATCAATTGAATGATTTTTATCAACCTTTCCTAAATTGTTGTTTATTCTTCTTTTGTGTTAAAATTGGAGAAGTTTACATGATTTTTACAAAATCATCTGAGATTCGAGTGTTTTAATAAATTTAATGATCGAGATTCTATTTAAAAGAATGTTAATAAAATACAGTTATTTTACGACGTGTCTCTAAAGTTCAGATTGGAACAACTCATTGTAGTGTACAATTCTTTAATTTAAGTTTTCCTTAGAGGAATTCTTTGATCAAAGTTGTGAACTCTGTATGATTATAATTTTTGTTTAAAATATGTTAATTAACAAATATTACAAAAAATGTTCAAACTCATTTAAAAAATCCTCCTTTATAAAAATCAGTTTGAGCACATTAGTGAGTGGAAAAGAGGAAATGAAGTGTGTACAAAAACAAATTGGAAAATAACAAAAGTTGTTAGAATAAAACATCATTCCTTTGATTGATATGAGCATTCTTGTATTTAAATGACAATGCATGGCTCTTGCGTTTTCAATGAATAGCAACTTACACCCTTTCTGTTTGTGATTTTGATTAATTAGTTATCTTGAGATTATTTTTGTCAATTTAATAAGTTAGGGAGTGTGATAGCCATATATATATAAGGTGTTTAAGGTTAAATGAAAGTCAACTTGAAAGTTGCAATACCTGAAATAAAAGGTAAAAGAAAAAATTTAAAAAAAAGAAAGGATAGAAAGCATCACAAAAACCTACATCAACATGTGAGTACACCCATTCCACTTCCTCTTAATTTTAGGAATTAATTTTTATAATCCCATTGTTAAAATATAGGAGAAAATCGTCTGCATTTTCAATATCATGTGAGGAGACCATTGACGAGAGAGAGAGAGAGAGAGAGAGACAAATTAAGATCAACACACTAATTAATAGCTCGAGTCGGTGATCATCATTCTTTAATACAAAGATTTTATTGACAAGTCTTTTTGTGACACATGTTAAGTAGATTATGTAAAGTAATATTTTATATTTTAAAATTTATTACACATAACAAGAGAAAAATAGCACGTTAAAACTTATAAAATTTAGGGTTAATTCCACGAAAAACCCCAAATCGGTACACCTGGAACAAATTTATCCCAAAATAATTTTTTAATCATAAAAAACCTCAAACCGGTATACTTATGAGAAATATACCCCGGTTAGTTTCCGTTAAATTTTACCGTCAAATTGTCGAGTTAGATGATACCTGGCAGTTGACAGGTGTACCAATTTGAGGTTTTACCCTCCGTTGGTCACAGGTTTACCAGTATGTGATTTTTTGATGTATTAATCCAATTTAACGGAAAATAACGGTGAGTGAATTTGTTACAAATAGTTTTAAGTTTTCATGGCCAAAAAATTAGTTTGAGGATAAATTTATCTCGGGTGTACCGGTTTGAGATTTTTCGTAGTATTAACCCTAAATTTTATTTATGTAATTGCTTAGCGGGTCTTTTAGGGGTATTTTTTTCAAAATAAAATTCCACCCTCAATATACAAAATAGGAGGTTGGACTTTCAAGGGGGAGGGAAAGCACTCTCGGACAGCTGTGGAGCTGTGCACCCAACATTTTTATTGCCGAAAAAGCTGACCTTTTTACGGAATATAATTTAATGCTTCCAATAAAAAAATAAATAAATAAATAAACCCCTCTTTTGTCTTACCCTCAACCACGGAAAAAGAACACAAAGTCAGAATAATACCCCCTTTTTAATATAGATTGCAATAATAATGGTAATAATGTAGGGACCACTGTACAAATCGATTTTACTCAATAAAATTGCCACATTATTGATATACGGCGCCTTTCGTACGCCGTATTTATTTGAATATCATGTTCGGTTCGGCGCTTTCGAATATGTCCGTCCGTCTTCTACAGATCCGACGCTTAACCCGTTTTCAACTCCTCCTCTCTTCACGTGTACACCACCTGATACCGAATTAACTTGGAGTATCCACGTAAATAAATGAATTTAAAGATTACGATAACGCGTTTATATATTTTCATGTGCGATTTAATCATCTTAGTAATATTGCTATAATTTACACAATGAGATTATATGTAAAAAAAAAGGGCGAGGAAAAGTGAAAATAGGGGAAAAAGACAGGAAAAGGGCCTAGCACTTCCGGGGTTTCCTTTGTAACGTTCCTTTTGAACAACTTCGCGACGCGCGTCGGACCGACCAACCGAACCCCCCGCGGTGGGCCCCCCCCCCACCCCCACGTTCCCCCCGCACCGTTCCAATCCTCTGCTTCGCTCCCACACCCCTCCCCGCGCTGGCCCCCTCCGAATCGTGACCGTCGAAACGCCCTCGAGACCAATCAGAGCCGCGCCACGTGGCGGGGACGGGATCCGGGGAGCTCGCCCCCTGTGCCGCGCCGCACGCAAGCGCGTCTCGCAGCCGATGAGCGGCTTGGCGAAAGGGAGAAGAGGTGGGTGGGGGAACCACCTCTCGTTGACCGAAGACCGGAAAGCGGTGGTGGCCCTGGTGGGTGCGTGCGGGCGTTAGAGAGAGAGAGAGAAAAAGGGGGGAAATCGAATCATAAATTTGGTCATAAAGGAAAGAAGACAGAAAAAATTAATATATTATACTTTTTTTCTTGGGTCGAAAATAATAATATTTATACTTTGCATTGTACTCTGTTTTTTACCCATTGTATTGAGAGCCCGTTTATTTATACTTAACAAATAATTATTTTATTTTTCCCATCATAATTCGAAATACTACTTAATTTTTTTCAAAAGATTATATGTAAATTGACATAACAGTCATTTGGTATCGTGAATATTTAAGAAGTGTCGATTTAAAAAAGCAAAATCAAAGTGCACGAGCTCGGGATTAAGTAAAGAGTACGGTAATTAAAGCCAATCCAATCGAATCCCAACACTTATTAATACCCTTCTTTGTATTTATTCAGGCGTGATTGCAAATACGCCCTCGGTTTTTTTCCCGGATCGAGAGCTTATTCTCGAACATGAACAGGGATTTGGTCGATGGATGTCTTCGGAGACACGGGGAGCGGCCAGGTTCTCGCGGGCCGACCGCCACTGTATCCCACGAGATCAATATTTTGAAAATCGAATTATTTCGAGAAATCATTAAACAATCCACAATTTCATTGGCGATAAAAAAAAAATTTCCATAAAATTCCCAAATCTATGTACCATATGGTAGTATTGCCTTTTTCCTTCCATCTTTTACTAAGTTTCCCTAATCCCAAGAGGCAAAAAAAAAAAAAAAGGGGGAGGATGACGTCACCAACGCTTTGACTCTCTCTCTCTCTCTCTATGTCTTCTTTAAACCCACCCGCACTCTTTCCCCTGCACGATCTCCCATCTCCATCTCCATCTCCCACCACCTTTCCTTTACCCCTTCCCTTCTTTCCCTCGCCGGCGAAAAGCTTCCTCCTTCCCTCCCCCTCCGGCGGCCGGCGAGAAGATGGTGCGGGAGCGCCACCGCGACGACCTCTTCATCACCGTCCCCAGCTTCTTCCGGTGCCCCATCTCCCTCGACGTCATGACGTCGCCGGTCAGCCTCTGCACCGGCGTCACCTACGACCGCGCCAGCATCCAGCGCTGGCTCGACGGCGGCCACAACACCTGCCCCGCCACCATGCAGGTCCTCCACACCCGGGAGTTCGTCCCCAACCTCACCCTCCAGCGCCTCATCCGGATCTGGTCCGACTCCTCCGCCCGGGCCGCCGGCGGGGACGACGGCGGCGGCGGCCGGTCCCCGCCGCCGCAGCCCCGGCCGCCGCGCCGCCCCCCCCCCGGCTCTCCCCTCCCGCGACCGCGCCCTCGCGGCGGCGAGGGGCGTCGCCGCCGCCGCGGCCGCCGGGTGCGGGGACGCGCTGCCGAGGATCCTGCGGTTCGCGAGCGAGTCGGAGGAGAACTGCGATAGCCTCGCGCGGATCGAGGGTTTCCCGAGCGCGCTGCTGAGGATGCTCGACTTCGACGGGGACGAGTCGGAGAGGAGAGTGAGGTCGCTCGAGCTGGCGGTTAGGGTTTTGGGAATGGTGTCGAGCAGGCTCGAGGACCGCGAGAGCTTCGCGAGCGCGGTCGCCAAGAGCGATCGCCGCCGCTTGGATTCGATCCTCGCGGTGATCGAACGGGGAAAACCGGAGTCGAAGGTCGCGGCGGTCAGGATCCTCGAATCGGCCGCCGTGGACGCCGAGACGAAGCTCGCGATGGCGGAGTGCGAGCAGCTCCTCCTCCGGCTGCTGAACCTGGTGGCCCCGGAGACCGATCTCGCCCTGCTCGACGCCAGCCTCTCCTGCCTCATCCAAATATCGGTCTCGAAGCGCGCGAAGACCAGGCTGGTGGCGCTCCGGTCGATCAGGCGGCTCGCGCAGCTGCTCTCCGCGCCGACCTCGACCGTCCCGGTGACGGAGAAGGCGCTGAAGCTGCTCGAGGTGGCGTCCTCCGTGAAGGAAGGCCGGGCCGCGCTGTGCGGCGACGCGGCCTGCCTCGAGTCCGTGCTGCAGAAGGTGTTCAAGGTGTCGGGGGCGGCGACGGAGCACGCGGTGGCGACCCTCTGGAGCGCGTGCTGCCTCTTCGGGGACCAGAGGGCGCGGGAGGTGGTGGCGGAGTGCAACGGGGTGGCCAAGATGCTGCTGCTGATGCAGAGCAATTGCCCCGCTCCGGTGCGGCAGATGGCGGGCGACCTGCTCCGGACCTGTAAGGCGAGCTCCAGGCCTCCATGCTTGTCCAGCTACGACACCAAGACGACCCACATCATGCCCTTCTGATCTTGGGCGAACCGGGGATCGAGCATCGACGTCAGCCATGAACAGTGCGGATCGAGAGACACAGAGAGATTGACTGTGCAATGCGTGTAAAAAATCAAAAGTGGAAATTTTTGGTAGTGAATACGAGAGGCAAAAGATTCATTTGATTTTGTCCATAGATTGTTGGGGGCTTAAAGAAGAGAAAAGGGCAGGGGAGCTTTTCGGCCAAATCGCTGCTCGCCATGTCTGTACCATCACAGTGCAGGTAACAGCAGCCGATGCAGGATCGCACGGTTCTGAGGATGACCTTTCCCTCTCTCTTTCTCTCTCTGTTTCGCTTTTGATCGAATTGGAGTGTGATCACGAGCTCCAGTTTCGCGGGGGATCACGACGAGATGTTCCCCAACTTTCGTTCTTTGCCTTCGACCCAGTGAACAGGTTCATGCGTTACAGTGAGATGGATGAACAGAGCAAGCATTCTCGGATTTGTGAAATGGGGCCGTGGACATTTCGTCGAACGGATGTTGGGCGAGTGGTTCTGAGATCCATCATCGTTTGGTAATCGGTTCGTGGGCGTCAATCTTGAAGGACAGGACCGTGTCTAGGATTTTTAAGACACTTGACAGCATCATGCTGCTGCTGCGCCCCACACACAAGTGCTAGGATTAATCGATAGTTTGCACGATGAAATGCCAAATTATTGTATTCCATGATTTGTATTTCTTCCGAATCTTTCCTTTAATATATATGCCAAACTCTAGAAGAAATGATTTATCACGCCGTTCAAATTACAACACCCCTTTATCACGGCGCAAAGATGTATGAAGTTAGGGTTTGCCACATAATGCGATATGAAGTAGAGCGAAACGGGGTTTTGTCGCCCTCGCCACCCGCTCTGGATGACAAGGATATGCGAGGGTCACGTAGCGATGGCAAGGATTTGTGCAACCTCGCCATGGCGAGGGCCACCTCCATAGGGGCCAATGGTGGTCATCACGACCCGTGTCAGCTTTCTTTTTTTTCGTAAGTATCGTTTTCTCATAAATTTAAAATATGTCAATTGTAAGTTTAAGAAAAATGCAATTATAGGTTTTAAAAAAAATTATCTTACTTCCTTATATGAGAACCATTATCGACATAGTTCGATATCGTTCCCCATAAAATAGGATAAATTATATTGTGTTTACACAGATTGATTTAATCCGATCAACATCGCAATAAGTCATTTTTTTTTTTAGTTTTTTCTCCCATGCTTATCATTTCAAGCAATCGTTCACTATAATTTTTATATAAAACTGACATATGCTAGGGTTTTCCCCTTTTCAAATATTCAATCTCATTTTGTGGCATCAATTCAGTAATCGATTGTGCTTAAAGGAGCTATTAAGCCACATCGACTCCCACATCATTTCATTTTCTATGCGTTTTAAAAATTCGATCTTTTTGTTGATAAAATGGGTATTATCATTTCATTTGATATGAAACAAATTAGACAAAAATACATAAAGCAATCAAGAAACCATACAGACGGAGACAAATTTTAAAAATATATACACACAAAATTTTAAAAAAAGAAGAAGGGTTTGCCAAAATTCAGCCGGAATTAGGATTGCTTTGCTGACTACGATGTGGCTTTCCCCGTCATTGAAATGGTTTGTTTAATTACCGGAAGGAAATGGAAACTGGAAAGCGACCCGAATCACAGCCCGACAAGTCACACAAAAAAAGATAATATTTGTTTATTTATTTATATATTATTTTTTGTTATTATATTGTTTGCAAGTCTTAATATAAGATGTCTTTAAAGAAAGCAATTGAAAAAGATGGGTTTGACCACTCCAACATCGACCGTGATGCGTATAAACAAATACATAACATGGGAAATGCTCCATTGCACAATTTGTGATCCGCACGTATCCAGGGCCCAGCTTTGATGTGAGTGGAAGGCATCCAAAATAAAACCTCGTTTGATATGACATTTTGATCTCTTTCTTTAGGAGGCGGCGGATTAGCGGATCCGGCTAACCGGTGGCCATGCCGATTCGAAACTACGCCTTCTCGGGTGCGAGCCGGGTCCAAGTCCGGGTGGCTCGGGTGGGTCTTGAATCGTCTCGGACCTTCGAGTTTGCTTGGGCGGCGATGCTCGAATTCATGACATTTGACCGATATATGAATGTGCTGAGGTTTCTATTGTTCCAATCTGATTTCTTTTTTTTTTTTTTTGTCTATTTTACGCTATTCCATTGCACCATATCGTCTATTAAGCTACAATAATCTCACTTGCTTGTTTATTCAGAATCCAAATTTTGACGGAAACAACCGTCGAGATTGATAAGATTAGAGATCCACTCACATTCACGGAAGGATGATAAGTAAATAAGGATTTATCATTATTTATTAGCTTTAATTTCCTATAGCATGTGCCTTGGAAAGATTTGAATCGAAGGCAAAGAGCCACGCCCATCTTATTTTTTCATACCATGGACCACTTGAACTAGAAGTCAAAGTTGGGATTCTTTTTTTTTTAAAGAGAATTAGCTCGAAAATGAAGCAGCAATTGTAACATTCTTTGAAGTTGGACCAACCCTCTCCGCATAAGTTGGATCTAGGGAACAAATTACTACGAACCCCACATTTCAATTTCGTGAAGAACTAGGAGAATGCTTGTGAAGTAGCGTTTAGCAAGCATTGGAGATATCATTGGAGGGCACGAGCATCACCCACTTCTTTTAGTGGTCAAATGTGGTCCCTAAACACCTCCTAGTCGTCCATACCGCATATTTTGAGAAATTGCATTTGAAGTTCCATATTCATATTTAAACTCAAATCGTCTATAAAAAATTTTCAATTTGCGCAAGTGATCCTAAATCACTTTACAGGTCAGTTCTACAAATTCCCGAAAATTCGGTCTTTGGAGATCGGTGCTGATGAATGATAAATGAACGTATCTCGATCGTTTAGTGAAAATCTTCTCAAAGTGTTTGAGACGCAACATCTCTTGCTTAGGAGGTGTGACAAAACTACGAGGCGACGTTTTCAGGTTGGGGGATAGATCTCTTAAGGGACCATAGGAACCCTGTTGTTCTCATTCATTCTTTGTTCTTTCCATGAACAAAGATTTGTTATGCCGTAGCCTACAAGGTTATAGACATGCGATTCTTGAAAAGAAGTTTGATCGTGCCTCTCAAAATGGTTTAGGACCTGATTTCACCAATCGAAAGATTTGAAACCAATTGCATTCTATAGTTAGAACTTAGAGTTAATTATATTGTTATGTGTGAGTTTTTTTTCCCGTACCTAGATGTGATCATTAGGCGGGTCCAGCCCGTCAAGGTTGTGCCTAAATCTTTGCCCAAGCTTACTTGTCGTGAACATTTTATATAAATCTTCGGGTTTGGGCGGGGCTTTCTCACCCATCGCCGTTGCCCGTGCTCGTCCAAAGAGTCTATGGCGCTTTGGCTTGGGTAGGGTCGGGCATGGGCTGCCAGGTCCATAATCAAGTCTACTCGTACTTTGTATCGTGACATAAAAGATCACATACGAGTAAACCTTGTCCTCCTATCTTTAATACAATGATGAGTCGTTAATTACGGCAAAGAGAACGGGGGAAGAAGGGTGGCCTTCCATCTACAGTTGTAGACTATAGTTTGTGACCTTTGCACAACATGTTCATTTTGAAATTGATTATTTGAGTAATTTCTCTTCCTTCCTTCCATGTCACTCCATCCAAAGCTAAGTATAAGCGACCTGACCATTTATTTGCTAATTAGATGGGTACAAGCAAAAAATTTAGCACAATTTAGCGGGATGTGCATTGATGGATCTTTTTTTTTTAACACAAAATCATGCAGGATGTAGGGTGCATTTCGGAGAGCTTTTGTCCAATGCATTTGCATAGAAGCAAAGGACTTTAAGACTATATTGTTTTCATGAAATTCAAATAGCATTTGGTCTATCTACTTTAGATTAGGGTTTTCTATAAAGAAAATTTTAGGAAAAATTGTCCAAAAAGTCCTCAACCTATTGTACGGCAACCAATTCAGTCCTAAACCTTTTAAAAAGTTGTCAATTCAGTCCTAAACCTTTTTAAAAGTTGTCAATTCAGTCCTAAACCTTTCAATTGTGCCAATTTAGTCATAAACCTATTGACTATTTGCCAATTTAGTCCAAAACCTTTTAACGAATTGCCAGTTTAGTTATTCAGACTAATTTTGACCGAAAATCGCTAACGTTAGCGCCAGCCGTCCTACGTGGTGCTGACGTGGATAATTTTTTTATTTAAAAAAAATTCAAAATTTTTTATTGATTATTTTTTTATTATTCTTTTCTCTTTTTTCTTTTTTTTTTTCCCTTTTTTCTTCTTCGTTGAGCCGGCGAGTCACCAGCCGAGGGCTGGTGGAGGTGGCTAGCCATTGGGCACGGGCGAGTGAACCCCGCCGGCCCAAGGGTGAGGGCCGCGAAGTCATCGCCAGCTATGGGTGAGGGCGTCGCGGCCATTGCCCACCCTCGCTATGGTCGGCGAGGGCCTGAGCGAGGGCTCTCGACGCCCTCGCCAACCACAGCGAGGGTTGCGAGCCCTCGCCGAATCCAGCAAGGGCCGCGACGCCTTCAATAGATTTGGCGAGGCCAGGGCATCACGGCCCTCGCCTAGGCCGTCACCGGCCACCTCCGCCAGCCAGTTGCCGGCTCAACGAAGAAGAAAGGAAAAAAAGAAAAGAATATAATAAAATAATCAATAAAAATCAATCCAATATTCGATTTTTTTTTAAAATAGAAAATTATCCACATCAACGCCACATAGGACGTCCGGCGCTGATTAGATTGCTATGTCAGCAATTTTTTTCCAAAATTAACTAGAATGACTAAATTGGCAATTCGTTAAAAAAGTTTAGGACTAAATTGGCAAATAGTCAATAGGTTTAGGACTAAATTTGCACAATTGAAAAGTTTGGGATTGAATTGGCAACTTTTTGAAAGGTTTAGGATTGAATTAGCAAAATTGAAAGGTTTATGACTGAATTGGCCGCCGTACAATAGGTTTACGACTTTTTGGATAATTTTCCCGAAAATTTTAAGGTAATTAAAAAAAGCAAATTCATAAGAGGATCGAAAAAACCCAGCTGAAAGTAATCGAAGCCGGTGGCCTCAAGTGACTACGGCAGCCTCGGCAAGGGTCGCGCGACCACAGGCATCGCCTTTTGCGGTCGCGCGACCTTGGTCAATGGCCATCGGTGGCATGTCTAGGGTAATGCCGGTTAGATCTGAGCTCCTCGGTCAAATCTCAACTCGTCATCGATGACG